TGATCATTTTTAAAATTCACAAGTTAAATATTTTCCCAAATGGAAAAAAAATGTTTCTGCTGATTTTGATATAGAAATAACTTTTTCCATATATCACATGATTACAAAATGTTGATACTCCAACTAAAATCCAGAGGAAAAAGGATCACTGTGGCCATATTCCTTAGTTCAACTGTGATTGCAAATCAAACTATCTGCTAGCTGCTGTCTCTACTTCATCTTCTGAATTAAAGTGTAAACCATGATTCTTTGACATGGGTATTATAGCCCGATGTCTCCCCCTTCTGGCCTTAGTAGAGTATATCATGACTGAACTCTTTTCTATCACTGCTATTCACAGATGACCCTCAGTATGTGGCTTATTGTTACTAAACTGCATTTCAGAGTAGCAAATACAACAGCATTATCATCTTTTTATGTTGTCTGAAGTACAGTACTGCACAGTAGCCAAACTTTATTGAAAGGCATGACCACGGATCCATTTTAGATCTGGTAAAATACCTACACGATTTGATAGTTTCCACAGTCAAACAAAGCCCTTATCCAATCTTTTATTGACATTCTGTTTAGTTAGTAACAACTCAGCCTTCAATTAATGTTAAGTAGATGCAAAACATCAGTGAATTATTTAGTTGAGATTGACCATCATTTTTATTGTTGTCTTTACGTATGCCCCCAGTGAGGATAGAGTAAGGATCGTCAGAGAGCTATGAAAATACATGTGGTGAAATCACTATAACCATTCAACTCAGTACTACATCCGTGGTTTCAGTTTGATAGCTCATTATACTGTCATTTCTATTAGTGTCAATGTAATTTTGGTCTGGAAGTGGTCCCTAAATTACTAATAGAATTGTTGATTGTGAAAAGAAAAAGCTACTTTCTTGCTATATAATCTTTAGCTGCAGCAAAATGTATACTTGTTACACTTTCTTTAACCAACACACTACTTAAACATATCTGTTATGGCGTTTAAAAGAAAATGGATTCAGATTTGACCCCATCCATAAATATGAGATGCAGTCAAACATTTTCTACAAATTTCAGATTCCTCTACAGTTCCCATTGCTAGTGTTGTTATTGTAAGCAGCTAACTGAGTAGTTAGTTTAACCTCTCAGTTGAAAGCTATCAAATGAGAACATTAACTTCTGCTTTCCTCATTTCCTTATCAGTTAATTCATATTTTACATTATACTTGTTTGGTTACACTTACACAGCATTCGACTGTTCAGTTGAAAGCATTTTTAAATATTTTGTTGAGGATGTAACATTAGTATAGCAAACCTTGTTTGTGTATACTAAATATCCAAATATGTTAAATGCAACTTTAATAATAAAACATTTCCAACTTCAGTGTTGGTAGTAGTGAACTACTACTGAAAATTTTATTTCATTTTATCATTATGGCTTTCAGAGGGTAAAACTGTTAAATGTGCTGTTTGTGTAAGAGTTGAGCATGGTTTCAGTAAGTGAGAGCAGGATGCCATAATTAGCTGTGTTGGCTTTGTAAACATGAAGTGAAAACATGATCTCAACTCTTAAACCAGCAGTCTGTCATGTACAGTAGCAGATTTGAATTTATTTAATTAAATGAGAACATAGGAAAAAAAAAAGACCAAAAAGTGGTATAAATATAGCCTTAGTTAAGGAAACTGCCTGAATGCTTGTTTGAACTGGTAAGTCTTGGTTCAAAATCTTCATTTGATAACTAGATACACAACACTTTTTGTCTTTACTCAAGCAAAAATAGCAAATACTACTGTGCTCCAAACCATAACTTTGTAACAGTAACAAAATATCGTTAAGCTTTTCATAAAAACACTTCACGTTACTCTGCTGCTATGACAGTCGTCTACTTGGTTGAAGAACTGTTCCAGCAGGAAAAACCACTATGATCTGTATTTATGTAAAATTTTGGGCTCCTCACAATTACTTTTACTGTCTTCTTAAGACTCTTTTCTGATTTTATGTACTCAAATGCAGCAGAGAAGACTGAATATGTGTGTGAGAGAGACATTAACAATGTCACCAATAATAACAATGCATTTGCAATGCCCTTGTTTATTGGATGGGTGGGCATGCAGCAAGCAAACCAATTATCCAACAAACCAACAATGACTGCCCCTATGTTTACAGAAGGATACGACTATGTTGTTTTTTTTATGTTTATACACACACAATGAATAATGATGCTAATAATTATTTGTGGTGTTCTAACATTAAATCATTGATTTCCCCTTATTTTTTGGAATTTTTGAACATTTTTGGCAGTACTGTGATAATATTGGTAACCATGATAATTTTGGTCACTATAATCATGTTAAATTTTCATACTGTTCCATCTCTACAAAGTATCAACAGGGACACGTCTTAAATGCTCTTCTGAGGTGCCGATTTAAAGACAGTTTGCCCACAGGGGTGTTTCCACTTGTTACAGTGCACTCACAGATACAAAGTAGCTGGCATCATCAGGCCCTCAATGAATCTGCAGTTCTAGGGGTGTGCTGTGTTGCACATGTAATTTACATACTCTGCTCTGATTGATTGATTGCACAGTTGTGTTCTGATGTACTGGCCGTACTACATACTGTATGTTGGCAACTTGTTTCCACATGATGTTTTTAGGTCCTGGAAATTTCTTAAAGACATGTTGCAGAGAACTGGGAACCTGGAGGCAGTGTTTTTCCTCCATTTTGTTTAAAATTCCTTCATGTAGTGGAGTGGAGTAGTAAACAACTCTGTACTTCGGTTTCTGTTGGAATCAAGATGATCATCATTGGCTCTCCCCTGGCTATTGCTCACACTGCCAAAACATATTTGCATAAAGCTGAGCTTTCCTTAGCTTTCCCCTGTAGTGTAGCTTGGTAATTATGCTGTTTTTCCACTATCAAAACCTAACAAGCGGTACACCCTGTACTGCCCTTAGCCATCACCAAGCATAGCCTCCCGGGTTGACGCAGACCATCCTGCTTTGTTTTTCCACTGAATTTTCTCTGAGTTGGTCTCCATTTGTTCTTTGTACCCTTGATATTATTCCTACCAAGGGGTGCTGAAATTTAGCTCCAGAACACACTTCCAAAGCAGACAGAGTGTACTAGAAATAAACACAGAACCTGTGATGACCGTTACCCGGCATAACACGTTTCGTAGGTTCCTATAATGAAAACACCCCTTTATTGAACCTGTTGAGGTCAGCAGGGGGCACAGGGCTCCAAAGTCAGGTTTTGTTCACAATGAACAGCAGCTGTTGGTGGCACAGTCTTATGAATGCACTGTTAGACCTCTGCTCAGGTTAAAGTTGGTGGAGGTGTGCTGCATCTACATGAAGTCAAACTTCAGGAATCTTTAAGACTTCTAAAGGTGCAACTTCTCCCACCAAATCGGTTCCAATAAAAATAGGAAAGAGAGATGTTAATCTCCCTCAGTTTGTACATGTCCACACAGAGCTAGAGTATGGATCAGGCTGCATGTTTCTGTCCGAACCTGACCTGAACCCAACATAAGTGCATTTGCACAGTATTTTTCTATGGCCCTCGTGCATCTAATATCATGAATAGAGTTGTCATGCACTTATCCAGCTGATCATTTTAATTTTGAAAAACACCTTACATTAAACGTAAGATGAAAGTGGAGTGAGGAAAGATAGAGTGAATTGGTATCTTCCAGCTTCTGACTGACTGAACACACCTGAGCCAGGTAATCAGCAGCAGGTCAGGCAGGGATAGTTGGAAAAACAAGCAGGACAGCGGCCCTTGAGGACTGGAAGGATAAGGATAATCACCTTTATTTGGCCAAGTATGTTACACACAAGGAATTTGTTTCCGGTACAGAACCGTGGCAGCCATCTGCGGCGCCAACTCAATCGATGGCTCTAACCATCGGGGGCAACTTGGGGGTTCAGTGTCTTGCCCAAGGACACTTACACATGTGGACTGCAGGCACTGAGATTCGAACCTTCAACCTTTTGGTTGGGAGGCGACTGCTCTACCCACCGCACCACACCACTGTCGCCTGGAATTGGCTACCCCTGCAGTAGAAGCTCTGAACAATTCTTTCAGCACAAGACTGCTACATCCCCAGTGTAAGAAGGAGCGTTACCGTAGGTCGTTCATCCCCACAGCAGGCAGACTGTACAACACATCACTGCAGTGATAAGCTAGGTGAAAGTATGAGGGACTATGTAATGGTCAGCTGAGGTGCAATACTCAAATCCTGGGGTAACATGCATGGTTAATATGCACATATATAAATTCTGTTCTTGATTATTCAAATACTTGATTCTGTCTATTTTTGAGTACTTGGAATTTGTTTATCAAGATATTTGTGTGGTGTTTGTTTCTCATGGTGTTATGTTGTTTGTTCTCCATTGCTGCTGAAACACTGACATTTCCCCATTGAGGGATCAATAAAGTACCCACCTACCTACCTACCTGAAAAAATCGTAACTGTCTTGTAGTTGATGGCTGTTTGGTGGTGGAGCTTTTTTAAGTCAGTTTACAGTGTGTCTTTTTACTTTTTTTAAGTAATGGTGACACTGTGCAAACAAAAAAACTGCACTTTAATGGGAATGTTTACAGGCAACAGGAAAAGGGGGGGCTCCTGGAAGGCTCACAGGAACTGCAAGCCAGCTGCACACCACCTAAAAGTGATTCAACTGGGAAGCTCAATTCTGAGTGGCTGTACATCCATGCATCGCACAGTGTCACCATTGAAGTGGGAATTTCCCCCTCACCACAGGGGGAAGCGCTAAACAAAGTGCTGCTTGGTACACTAAAATGAGGAGAAGATAACAACAAAGTAACAGGGGCCAGGCTGCCTTCTATTGTAATGCACACAGGCTGACAAAAAAAATTAAATATAATAAAAACAAACACTAGAAGAGTCTCAGTCGACTAACAGGTCTGACAAGTAATGATTTGACTAGTTGACTTTCAGGGGGCAACCCTACTAACCAGTAACTACAACCAGCAACTATGTGTGTGTCTATGTATCTGCCTACCTGGACCAGTTTGTAGAAGTAGGCGTACTGGCGTGCAGTGTTTTTATACTGGCTCAGAACATCCTGCACTGCCTGGGTGCCCAACAGCAGCTGCACCTCATCCTGCTGGTAGTACAAGGGCGTGTCATACTCCTGAGGAAGACTGCGGATATATGGCAGCCAGAATGAAGCAGGGTTAGCCCGCTCACATAGCAGGTGGAGGGCCAGCGTCACATTGCCCATGGCCTGCAGGATCCGGTCTTGGCTGTACAAAGGAGCTGAGACAGAGGTTACAGTCATTTATAGGATAACACAATGTTGCTTTGAGTACACTGAAAACCTTGTGTTTCAATAGGAAATTGTTTTGTGAGCATAATTTAGATCTCTGTGTGATCTCAGTCTCACATGACAATGATTATGGCAGGAAATACATGATGGGAATATTTATTGACCTAAAAAAAGCATTTGACACAATCAATCATGCATTATTAATGGATAAGTTAGAACAATATGGGATCAGGGGATTGGTATTGAACTGGATTAGAAGTTATTTGACACAGAGGCGTCAATTTGTGAAGTTGGGTGAATACCAATTGAGTGA